ATAATCATTGTAATGAAACAAGGTGTACGATTTGTTGAATGTAAAACTGATGATTTATGTCCTGTAAACTTTCACTCAATTCACAATAAAAACCTTAAAAAAAAAAAAGATACTAACAAGGACTTCTGGTTTGGGGGCAGAAGAAGCAGAGCCTCTACAGCTAAGGTACAAAAAACCAGACAAGGCACATTGCCAGAACAGGTCCAGAGCTTTAGATCTAATATAATGTGTGTGTGTGTGTGTGTGTGGCGGGGGGGGGGGGGTGTTGGGTAGAGAGACGCAGGTTCAGGTGTCCACCAGTGGAGAAGTCTGACTGTAGCAGGAATACATGACGGTTTCTGAATCGATTGGGACACTGCCGGCAGACCCCTCAGCCTGGGCTGAGCTCAGAGGGCGGGGCCACAGTCAAAGTCACAGAATGCTTGTGGAAAAAGAGGTGTGACTGTTTTTTCACTTTTCTTTCCTTTGCTCCCTTGTCCCACCCTCTCTGCCCAGCTTGAGAACCTTTAGGCAGGTGGGAGTGCACCCCCAAAATGGTCCAGAATTACACCCGCAGAGTACAATTTTCCCACGGTGCAAAGACGGAATCCCTGAAAGCCCCAGAGGTTCCACAGCTAATCCTTTGGCTGCTTCTTATGATGTCTGTCTGACTCTGGGATTTAGCACTAAAGATGACTCTCCTAATCAGGCAGGACCCTTTATTCCTGCCTTACCTAACAAGACACAGCAGATCTGGCCATACAGCCAAAATGTATTTGTACCTTACAAAAACCCAACATAAAAGGCAAGAGCCAACACCAACTACTACATATAAAAACTCAAACCATTTTAAGAATTATGCTGTGCATAAGCAGATACCTAACTGATCTTTTGAGATAAAAATAGAGGATAATCTTTCTTCCATTCATTTCTCAATATCTATCTGCGCACCTCCACAGTGGTAACAGTCTGCTACAGTTCTGTTTTTATTTTTGTGTGTTGTTTTTTGTTTAGGCTTTTATCTTACTGTGTTTCTGGTTTTGGTCCTTTTGGTCTTACTTTCTTCCTAGGAGTGGGAGCTTTCTCTTCCTACGTTACCCAAGAAGAGACAGCAATCATATCCAAATAGCCAAGCTACAAGCATACCCCATAACATCCCACCATCCAGACAGGAGCCAATACCAGCTGCTAGGCATTACACAGTAGCCAATATTTGTTAAGATAGCTTGCAGTTAAGTAATAAGAGACGTGAAAAGGGAAGCCTATCTCCATATCACATCCACCGAGACACTCAGTAAGCATAAACAACACAGCAACATACATTCATTTAATTATTGAAAATGCGTCTAACTATTGAAATTGTCCAAGAAAACAACAACAAAAGATCTTAGCACATGTCCAGAAACAGAAAAGACTAACTGAGACAAATGAGCTGGAGGCAGACATAGAGTTCCCATTAGAAGAAGAACAGGCTTTGTATCTGCCTGAGAAGGAATTCAGAAGAATGATATGAAGACAAATCCAAATGCTTCACAGAGGGCTGGAGGATAATAAAGAAGTCAGGAAAGTGCTATAGGAGCAATCAAACAAGATAGATACAGCATGGGACCAATTCAAAACCTGCAAAATGAGGTCCAGATGATTAACAGAATATCAGAAATGGGAAATACACTGAAAGGGCAAAGGAGTAGAACTGAAGAAATGGAAGCCTGAACCAGCGAGCTGGAAGAAAAATCTCTAAATACTGCTAAAATAGAAGAGCAAGTAGAAAAAGGGATAAAGCAATCTGAAGAGAGAATAAGACTCATGTTGGATAACATGAAGAGGAATAACTTAAGAATTACTGACATTTTCTGGAACAGGAAAAATCACAGCAACTAGAAGAACAGAAGATACTTCTTGAAAGAAAAGACCAGCAGGAAAAATAAAAAACAATAATGGCAGTTTGACTGACTACTACAAGAACAAGCAAGTTGTTTGCTGGAGAGCCATCAAGGCAAGTGGTTGGGTGCCCTCAGGGTAAACCTACTTCCAGGACTCAGACTCAAGGGGAATACATGAGCAGGCATGTGGTCTTGCTAGTGACCATGTTGGTCTACTGCTAAGGGAGAGTAAGGGGAAAACAACAATGAAGTTGTGAGCTAAGGCCGACCACATTCAATAGACTCCTGCCAACCTGAATAGAGACCTGTTTGGCCAGCAGTATAGTGAGACCTGGGTACTCCGGAGCCCAGGGACATAGCCTGAGAGGACTAGAGTGGAAAGTGAAGTCTCCAGCTGATATGAAGTGAGGGGAGATGCACAGGAACACCCATACTTGTAGATAGTACCCACTTGACCTGGCTTCAATGACTGGATGATCAGAACTTGACTAGAAGAAAGAAGAGGAAAAAAAAAAGAGTAATTCACTACAATTTGATGAACTTGACCTATACTTATGGATGTAGTAGCTTAAAAGAGGGAACAAATCTTTACAGCAAGGATCATTCCTACCCCCTTGGTACACAGGGTTGACAGGGATAGGGAACTTAAACACTGGCTACCCCAAATGGGGAACTACAAAGGCACAAAGTAACTAACTGGCTTACAAGCTTTCAAAAGGGAGCCTAGTTTCAGAGCGTACAGGGGAAGGTAGAATATCCAATGAGTGGTTCCAACCTGTCTGGATGGGTGAAAGGAGATGGGGTAAGACTCTTGTGGTTCAATAGTGAATAATTGCTATCAGGACTAACTGTGAGTGTTGCAAATGTAAAGCTAGACATTTTGTAACATAAGGAGGGGAGTGGTTGATCTTACAGTCCAGGATTGGAGGCCCCTGGGACCTTCAAGGGAGAAGAGCAGAGTGCGGGACCCTATCCAGAGAAGCAGTGACACCAGAGATGATGACATGGAGAGATAGAATGGTTGGGGACTGTGGACTCAGGGAGGGAGAGGGGCTGTATGTTGATGACTCGGGGGCAGGCTTGTGGAGTGTACCCTTGGTTGTTTGAATGGTTATATGTTCCTGAGTGCTTCAGTATACATCAAAAAACAAAAAAACAAAAAACAAACAGAGGGAATGGAAGCAAATGCTGTTGAATGATGATGCATGGAGGGGAATGTAATCATTGTAATGAAACGAAATACAACAGGATGAATGTAAAGCTGATGTTCTCCCATGTAAACCATCAATTAACAAATAAAAACTCAATTAAAAAATAAATGAATAAATAAGGCAAAAAAAATCATTTATTTCAATGCACAAATCTGCTAAAAAAAGATCTCTTTAGGGAATAGAAGCAAACACTGTTGAAGATGATGCATGGAAAGGATTGTAATCATTGCAATGAAACAAAATATTGATAGGATGAGTGTAATACCAAGGTTCTCCCATGTAAACTATCACTCAATTCACAATAAAACCTTAATTAAAAAATAAGTAAATAAGTGAAAATAAATAAGGTAAGAAAGAAAGGAAGGAAGGAGAGAGAGAAAGCGAGAAAGCAAGAAAGCAAAAAGCAAGAAAGCAAGCAAGCAAGCAAGAAAGAAACCAAGTGACATTTCAATGCACAGATCTTAAGTGGTCTTCAGGTTTTCAATTACAGGCTTAAGAAACAAACTGTACATGTGATTAAAAAATCTAACTCTTCATAGGTATTCCATAAGGAAGCAACCCAAATCTCCATCAATGATGACCAAATGAAAGAATAAAAGAAAATGGGGAATAGTCAGCTGATAGCTTGACATGACCAAACCACAAGATTCTTTGGAAATATGAAATGAAGTAATTAAATATGCTTTGATATGAATGAACTTTAAAAAACATTTTGCTAGGTGAAATAAGACACTCACAAGTCTTTTTATATAAAATGTCCAGAATAGACAAATTCATAGAAACAGAAAGTAGATTAGTAGGTTCCAGGAGCTAGGGGAAAGAGGGAATGGAGAGTGACTGCTACTGGGTACATGGTTTATTTTGGGGTGATGATAATGCTCCAAAATTAGAAAGCAATAATGGTTGCATAATTGTGAATACACTAGAAATCACTAAATTGTATATTCTAAAAGGTTGAGTTTTATGTTGTTGTTGTAAAGTGCTGTCAAGTCAGTTCCAACTAATAGTGACCCTATATAGGGTTTCCAAGGAGCTGTTGGTGGGTTTGAATTGCCTATATTATGACTCACAGTCCAGCGCTGATCCAACAGCTCCATACCAGTAGTCCTGAGTTTTATAGTATATAAATTATATCTCAATGAAAGTTTATTTTTTTAAAAGCGATTATTATGCTTTCAGAGTAAAATTAGCTGAAATAGTTGTTGTCAGAGTTATTGTTGTTGTTAAGTACCGTGGAGTTGGTTCCGACTCACAGTGACCCTGCACAGAGTTTCCATGGTTGCAAATTTTTATGGGAACAGAAAGCCTCATCTTTCTCCCGCGGAACAGCTGGTAGTTTCAAACTGCCGACCTTGAGGTCAGCAGCCCAATTTGTAACCACTACGCTACCAGAGCTCCTTAGTTGTTGTCAATAGTGTGGGCTAATTTTAGATGAGGATAAAGACAAGACAGTTAATCATTTAACTGCTGAATGACTTGCACAGTTAATACAAGTCTTTTCTTATTGCCTATTACCTGGTTAGTTTGGCATTTACATGACACTGAATATTTTTCAAGGACCGCCTATCCCACACAAAAAATAATCCATTTTCATGGTTTAACACAGGAAGAATTGCTCTTCTTATGAATTTATGTGGCGCTGTAGGTTAATGTAATGGACTGCAAAGTCAGTTTGAACTACAAAGTCTAGCCCACCAACCGCTCCTCGGAAACCCTCTACAGGGTCCCTATGGATCAGAACTAACTTGATGGCACTTAACATCAACAATAACATTATGAACTCAAAACACAACATGTTTAAAAGCAAATTTTTGTCACAAGCTTACGATGTATTCTAAACATTACAATAAAATCAATGAAACATTCCAAAGCACAAAGCAGAGCATATTTTTTAAAGACCCAAAAATGTTCCTGAAAAGCTCCTTACTAGTTGCTGTTAAATCAAGGTATTCTCTTTCAGCTGTCAAAATTCTAGAATTGATTCGTGGAACAACATTTGGCTGATTCATGATATATTCAACCACATCTTGATCATGAGACAGTTCACCCTATAGGAAGAAAACAAAAGTGGTGGGAGTGCTATTAAATTCACATATTTAAAAAAAATTATTAGGAACTAAAAATCCAATTAGCTTTATACTGCATCTTTATACTTGTTAGGTGCTGTCAAATCGGTTCATATTCAAAGCAACCCCATGCACAACAGAATGAGACCACTGGTTGGGTCTTGCGCCATCTTCACAATTGTTATATTTGAGCCCATTGTTGCTGCCAGAGTGCCTGTCCATCTAGTTGGAGGTATTCCTCTATTTCACTGACCCTTCACTACCAAATATGATGTCATTCTCCAGGGATAGATTCCTCTTGACACTACATTCAAAGAACGATAGGCAAAGTCTCACCATCCTCACTTTTAAGGAACAGGCTAGTTGTACTTCCTCAAAGGCAGACTAGTTTGTTCTTCTGGCACTCCACAGTACTTTCAATATAAATTGGTTTTCCTTGCTGTTGTTACAAGCCTTCACATGCGTTCTGACACATAGTGTACTTGGGTTTATGAGGCTTTAAATCTTTGCAGGAGCAAAAAGCCTCATCTTTCTCCTGCAGAGCTGCTAGTGGGCTCAAATCACCAACCTTGTGGTTTTAAGTCCCATTGTTCTTATGGGACCACAACATGCTCAGTCTTCCTTGTAGGCATATAGTTACTATCCTCTCACAAACAGCATCATAGTTCAAAATATGTCTTGAAATGCTCTTTTTGATAAGGAATGTGATGCCATATCTATTCATTTGCCATTTCAGGCATAATATATCATATGATCTGTATGTGTTCCATTTCATTTTTGATGACTTAAACTTATCCTAGATTCATACTTTGTACATTCCACAGTCTGATTATTAATGGATGTTTGCAATTGTTTCTTCTCATTTTGAGTTGTGCCCCATCAGCAACTGAAGTTCCCAAAAGTTTGACTGCATCCCTACTATCAAGGTCAACTTTACTTGAGGAAGCAGTTCTTCCCCAGTCATATTTTGAGTGCCTTCCAACCTAAGGGGATCATCTTCTGGCACTGCATCAGACAATGTTTTGCTGCTCTTCATTTGGTTTTCCACAACTAACCATTCAGAAGTGATCAACCTGTCCTCCCTAGACTGTCTTAGTTTGGAGACTTTTCTGAAACCTGTCCACCATGGTGGACCCTGCTGGTACTGAAATACTAGTTGCTTCCAGTCTCACAGCAACACACAAGTCACCACAATACAACAACTGACAGACAAATTGTGTCTCGATAGCCTAGATGTAAACAAATTCCTACAAAGACACAAACAGCCAAACTGACTAAAGAAATAGGGAATCTAAATAAACCTATGCCAAATAAAGAGATTGAATTAGTTAAAAAAATAAAAATAAAACTTCACACTAAGAAAACCCAGGTAGAGATAGCTTCACTAAGAAATTCTAGAAAATATTTAAAGAATACTCACAAACTCTTTAAAATTATAGAAAGAAACATGTTCCAACTCATTCAATGAAGCTAGTGTTACACTAACAGCAAAACGAAAACCAATGAATTATATACTTTAAAAGGTTGAGTTTTATGGAATGTAACTCACATCTCAATAACAGATATACATATATATAAAATAATTGCAACAGTTAATCTTTCCTAAGTCAAAATTTCTTATAAGTAGAACAAGCATCTGTTAGAACGATTAAGTTATTTAGAATCTTTAAAATAAGTATTCAATGCTGAATGCAATAAAATTAACTATTTAAAATACAATATACAGGAAAGTTCATGAATATATATATATATATTTTATCAGGACTTGCTAGGAGTCTACATTCAGGTCACTACTGGTGTATAGAAAAAAAAGAGTGTTGCTTAAGGATTTGTACAGCTTATTACAGAGACTGTATATAAAAATGTTGAAAACATTCTTAAAGTACCACTCACCAAGTACACTGCTCTTTGGAAGAAGGTTGTTGTCTCCAAGATTTTGTGCATTGTGATGGTTTCCAATTCATCAGGATCTAACTGTTCCTTTTCAAAGGGCATCCCATTGAACAGAACCACAGGCAGTAGACCAAGCCCAGTCTGTTCATAGTAGGCTCTTGCTTCCTGAAATATAAAAGATCATTTGTTGTTGTTGTTATGTGCCATTGAGTCGGTTCCGACCCATAGCGACCCTGTATAGGGTTTCTGAGGGTGTAAATCTTTACAGGAGTAGAAAGCCTCATCTTTCTCCCGCGGAGCAGCTGGTAGTTTCGAACCGCTGACCTTAAGGTTCGCAGCCCGATTCGTAACCACTACGCTACCAGAGCTCCTTATAAAAGATCATAAAAATGCATTTTTATTCTTCTTGAGGTAACTAGAACAAAGGTTTTCTTCCATGTCTGTTCTAAGAGGGGAAATAAAAAATTCAACAGAAATATGATCATGAAAAAAAAATATCTATAGCAATTTATAAAAATCAAGCAGACATTATAGTTAAGATACTACTGTGTAAATTTGAGAATGAATTATTGGGATTTTGTAATATAACTAAACTTTGCAAACAGAAGTGAAGGTTTTTTTGTGTGTGCGTGCTCTATTTTTAGCAACTTAGACTACCAAACCAAATTTCTATACACCTAGGATTCCTAGTGTGGCACTGTAGGATCAGCACTGGTCTGCAAATAACAATAATGGGAGTTCTAACCCATGAGCTGCTCCTCGGTTCCTATTAAGTTGGAACCAACTCGACGGCATTTAACAACAACACAAGTGTAATGGGTTATAGGTTGGGCTGCTAACTACAAGGTCAGCCATTTGAATTTAACAGCCATTCCGCAAAAGAAAGATAAGTTTTTCTGCTCTTATAAAGATTTATAACCTCAGAAACCTTCTATAAGGTTTCTATAAGACAAAACTGAATAGATGGCATATAAGCACAACCACCATCACCACTACAAGCCTTCTAAAGTAACAACTGAGTCCTGGTATGATGCTGTAGGATAAGCACTGGACTGCTAATTGTAAGGTGGGCAGTTCAACCCACCAGCTACAATTTGGACACTCTACAGAGTTACTTTAAGTCAAAACTGACTCAACGTTACTTAGCAACAACAGCCAACACTAAGGAGCCCTGTTAGCATAGTGGGTTAAGAGTTAGGCTACTAACAGCAAGGTTAGCAGTTCAAACCCACCAGTCATTCCTCAGAAACCCGACACACAACTGCTATGAGTTGGAACAGATTAATACTAGACTGTTGGCACATAACAAAAACAATAGCCATACCAGTGGAAACCACAGTGGTGCAGTAAGGTAAGCAATGGTCTGCTAACCAAAAGTTCAGTGGTTCAAATCCATCAGCTGTTCTACAAAGAAAGATGAGGTTGTCTGCTCCTATAAAGATTTACAGTTTTGGAAATCTTATATAGTCATGATGATTTGGAACCAACTCAATGGCATCTACCAACAATGGGGAAGCCATGGAGACTATAGAAGCTCAGGGGTACTCTATCATAGACTCAGGGCTTTGCTATGAGGCCTATCTCCCATCTCTTCTACAAGACCTTGTCTGATAAATCACCTGGTACTTCTCTCTGCTCACTTGCTTCATATTAACCATAATTTGGCCCCATGTCATATGGGTAACAAATATACCTTATTTATATTATTACCAAGTTATTCAATGCCCTTGGATCCCAGTGACTCTGTAGGATAAGCACTGGACTGCTAGCTAACCACAAGGTCAATAGCTTGAGCCCAGGAGCTGTTTGGCAAGAAAAAGATGAGGCTTTCTGCTCATCTAAAGATTTACAGTTTTGAAAACCTTACACAGGGTTCTGATGACTAAGAACCAACAGTCACTTAGCAACAATCCAAATCCCTTGGCAAGTCACAAACAACGTACATTTGCAGATATCTATAGATTCACTGGAGTTCTGGTATGGCACGGTAAGATAGTGCACTGCACTGCTTACCTTAAGGTTGGCAGTTCAAACCCAACAACTGCTCCTTGGAAACCTCATACAGAATAGCTATGAGGCAGATCCAACTCGATGGCACTTAACAACAGTAACAATCCAATCCCCTTGGCTAACCACAAACACCTCATATTTACAGAGACCTGTTGTTGTTAGATGTCATCAAGTCAGTACCGACTCATAGCACAGCAGAATGAAACATTGCCCGATCCTGGGCCGACCTCACTACTGTTGCCATGCTTGATCCCACTGATGCTGCCACTTTGGCAATCAATCTCGCTAGAGGTATTCCTCTTTTTCTCTGACCTTCCATCTTGCCAAACATGATATCCTTCTCCAGCGACTGCTCCCTTCTAACAATATGTCCAAAGTATGAGAGACGAAGTGTGGACATTCTGGCCTCCAAGGAACACTTGGGCTACACTTCTTCCAACACAGATCCGTTGATTCTTTTATCAGCCCATGGCACTTTCAATATTCTCCTCCAGCACCATAACTCAAAAGCATCATTTCTGCTACGGTCTTCCTTATTCACTGCCCAGCTTTCACATGCAAATGAGGTTATTGAAAATACCATGGCTTGAGTCAGGAGCACCTTAGTCTTCAAGGTGACATCTTTACTCTTCAACACTTTAAAAAGGTTTTGTGCAGATTTTCCTAATGTAGTATGTCGTTTGATTTCTTGACTGCTGCTTCCGTAAGTGTTGATAGTTGATCCAAGAAGAATGAAGTCCTTGACAACTTCAATCTTTTCTCCATTGATAAGAATGTTGTTTATTGCTCCAGTGGTGAGGATTTTTGTTTTGTTTACATTGAGATGCAATCCATACCAAAGGCTGTGCTCTTTGATCTTCATCAGTAAATACTGAAAGTCCTCTTCACTTTCAGCAAGCAAGGTTGTATCATCTGCCTATCGCAGATTATTAATGAGTCTTCCTCCAATCCTGATGTCGTGTTTTTCTTCATACAACCCAGCTTCTCGGATTATTTGCTCAGCATACAGGTTGAGTAAGCATGGTGAAAGAATACAAACCTGTTGCACACCTTTCTTATTTTTTAAATAAATGTTTTATTGTGAATTATGTGATAGTTTACATGGGAGAACATTAGTTTTACATTTATCCTATCGTATATCGTTTCATTGCCATGGTTATACTCCCCTCAATGCATCATCAACCAACCAAAGGGTATACCCTGAAGCCTGCCCCCCAACACTCCCCATCCCCCGGTCATCAACACACAGCCCCACTCCCTCTCTGGATCTCAAGTCCCCAGCTACTCCATCTCTTGGACATCATTGTTTCTGCCTCCATCTCAGGCAACAATGATTCTCTGGGTAGGGTTCCGCTCTCGGTTCTTCTCCACTGATAGTCCTAGGGAGCTCCACTCCTAGACTGAAAAGTTAATCACTCCCCTCCTTGCTATAAAACATCTACTTTAACATTTCCAACCCTCACAATCAGTCCTGATAACAATTATTCACTATTGTATCACAAGAGACCTATCTGCATTTCATTTCATCAGCCCTGCCTAGACAGATTGGATACTACTCACTGGAGAGTCTACCTTCCTCCATGCCCTCTGGATCTAGGTTCCCTCTTGAAAGTTTGTAAGCCAGTCACTTCTGCCTTTGTAGCTCCCTCCCCCACCCTTTTTGGGTAGCCAATGTCCAAGTTGCCCATCCCTGTCTACTCTGTGTGTAGAGGGGGTAGGAATGATTCTTGCAGTAAGGATTTGTTTCCTGTTTTGAGCTACTGCATCCATAGGTGTAGGTCAAGTTCATCAAATTGTATCAGATTAAGCTTTTTTCCCTCTTCTGGTTGAGCGCTGGTCATCCAGTCATTGAAGCCAGGTCAAGTGGGTATTATCTGTAAGTGTGGGTGTTCTTGCGCATATCCCCTCTCTTCTTATCAGCTGGACGCTTCACTCTCCACTCTGTGGCTGTGTCACTGACTCTGGGCCCAAGAGACACTGCTGACCGACCATGTCTCAACCCGGGTTCACAGGAGTTTATTGAACATTGTAGGGCTTATCTTGCCACTTCATTGCTGTTTTTCCCTCACTTCCCCTTATGGGTGACGAGCATGGTCACCAATCAGAGCATGTATTCCCATTGAGTCTTAGTCTTGGAAGAGGGTTTGCACTGAGGGGACCTGACCACTTGCTTTGATGTCTCCTGGGCAAGCAACTTGCTTGCTCTTATAGTAACAGTCGGTCTGCCTCTATTGTTTTGTATTTTTCCTGTAGGTCTTTCTTTCAAGAAGTATCTTCTGTTCTTCTAGGCACTCCAGTCTGGTCTGCTTGTCCTTTCAAGTGTAAACTTCCTATCTCTGAAGATCTGGATGTGGTTCAGGCTTCCACCTATAGTCTTTTGTAATGCAGAGGCTCCGCAGGAAGCCTCCTTCACTGGGTACTTTGTAGCCCCATTTTTGGTATTCCAATCAGTTATAGGCAGAAGATGGACTTACAAGCTTTCCATGGTGATGTTTCTGGCTATTCCTTTCTCTCCCCCTCCAGTGTCTATAATATAATGCATGGAAAACGAAGATTCAAAAGACAGCCAAGCATCTTAACATTATTCCCTCCTTTTCCCCATTCCAACCATGTCTCAATCTCTGTATACCAGAGCCCTGTTGTTCCAAGGTTGTGTATACATCATTATTTACCTCTGTCCCATTTAGCCCATTCAAACCTGCCTAATTGTTCTCCCATCTGCTTTGTTCTTCCATTCCCCTCTCCCTTCTTGTATATTGCCCCCTCTGTAGCACCCAAACTATCCTGTCTATTCCCTGCCCTGTGCTCCACCTTCCCCTCCCTCATTTCACCCCTCCCCTACATCCTAGCAAGCAGCAAAGAATCCACTTTAGTGGATTACTATGGGTTATTTTTCTTAGTCTTTTACAGTAGTGGTCCTATGCAGTATTTCCTCTTTTGTGACTGACTAAGTTCACTCAACATAATGTCCTTAAGGTTCATCCACATTAGGTGGTGGCATGCAGCTTCCTTGTTATTGGTCAAGGTAGTATAATATTCCATTGTGTATATGTACCACAGTTTGTTTATCCATTCTTCAGTTAATGGGCACTTTGGCTGTCTCCATCTTTTTGCTATTGTAAATAGTGCAGCTATGAACATTGGTGTGCATATAT